GGTGGCGCAGTGGATAGAGCACCGGCCCTGGATTCAGGAGGACCTGAGTTCAAATCTGGCCTCAGACACATAACACTTAATTAGCTGTGTGACCCTGGGCAAGTCACTTAACACCACTGCCTAACAAACAAACAAAAAACAAAACAAAACATCATCCTCCAAAGCTTACATCACACCCAAACACCCTCAGCTACCCTAAATAAGCTACTTCAATCTCTGTCACCTGGGAGGAGACTAAATCCTCATGGAACCTCTTTCCAAAGCTGAAATCACCTCTCAAGGCACCAAGTTCCTGAAGCTTAATCTTCCCAAGTGCAACTGGAATTAGATTAAACGTAACTGGGAAATATTTAACGAAATAAATAAAAACACAACAAAACATAGATAATGATACTGTGTGGTTTTCTAGGTTAATATGTTTCGGGGGGGGGTTGTTTTTTTTTTTTTAGGCAGTTGGGGTTAAGTGACTTGCCCAGCATCACACAGCTAGTTTTCTAGGTCAGTATGTAGCCAACCTACTTTTTTTCTTTTTGAGTTTGACACCACTGTTCAGGGGCAAATCAGAGGCAGTTTGTGATTGTTCTAAAATGAGAAAGCCAAAAAAAGCAAATGAGATCTTAGAAGGTCCAGTTCATCTTAGATATTTCGAGTCCAAAAGGCCAGGGTGATAGTGTCAGGCAATATCTGGTACTTGAGGTAACGTTCAGTTTTATAGTCATGATTGTATCAGCCTCCTTGCTGCATTTTAGGAAGGATGTGGACAAGCGTCTTCAGAAGAGAATGATGAGGCTGGTTTCTATGGATCAGCTGAAGGAACTGGGGATGTGTAGACTTGGCAGGGATAAAACATCATTTTGTCTTTGTATTCCCATGAAGGTATTTATAATAAAAGCTTGCCAGAGCTTCTCCCCAAAGAAGAAAGACAAGAAGGCCAAGGCGGGGGACAGTGGGTGTAGAACATGGCATATCATGTCAGACTTTTTTCTGATCTGTTGGTTAGTTTGACTGAACTGTTTATTCCTGGACTTAAAAAAACTGAGTTCAAACCTGCATGCAAATCATTTAACTGCTCTGTGCCTCAGTTTCTTCATCTATAAAATGGGAATAATAATAATAGCACTACCCCTCCCGGTTGTTTTAAGGATAATATGAAGTATGTGTAAAGCACTCTGTAAACCTTAAAACATTATATAAACGCTATTGTTATTACAGATGATTCTCTGGGAGTAGGAAAACAAGAGATATAATGGGAAATGTAGGTGATATTAAAAATAAAAGATATCAATTAAGACCAAAAAATGCTTATTAGATTGAGAGGATTTGTTTGTTTGGTTTTTTGTGGCCCTACAGGGCAGAACTAGAAGCAACAGGCAGAAGTTATGAGGAAGATTTTGACGTAGCAGAAGAAAAATTTTTTTAATGACTGTCATTGCTGTTTAGTCCGGTCTTGGGGTTTTCCTAGCAAAGATACTGGAGCGGTTTGCCAACTCTTTTTACAGATGAGGAAACTGAGGCAAACAGGGTTAAGTGACTTGCCCAGGGTCACACAGCTAGTAAGTGTCTGAGATTGGATTTGAACTTAAGTCTTCCTAACTTTAGGCCCAACACTCTATCCATTGGGCCACCTAGCTGCCTATGATTACAGCTGTCTATATAAGGGGTCAGCAACCAAGTGGAATGGCCTGCCATGGTTTTTATATATTTTTATATTTTTCCTTGGTAAAATTTTTATAATTTTTATTTTTTTAAAAATAAAAGTTCTATTCTATTTTAAAACGTAAAAACCATTCTTAGCTTGTGGACTGTATAAAAATATCTGGCATATTTGGACCTCCAGTTTGCCCATTCTTCCTCCACATGAAAGAGGAATGGGCTGCCTTAGAGAGTTTACAGAGCCTACAGAGGTCTGCATGGGGGCCGATGGCTACTTATCAGGGATATTATGCTTCATGTGCTGAGTTAATCTAGGTGACTTCTGAGATCTCTTCTATGACTTGTTATGGGTTTCAAGGTAAGTCTGTTATGTCCTTAGCTGTGATGAGCCTGCTCATGTGATTTAACAGGCTGATCCCTTCTCTAGCAGCAGGGCAATTCAGCCAACTTACTGACTGTGAGGTCCTCTGAGAAGAGAAACCCAGAATCTTTCTCCTCCTCTTCTCTCCTAAGGTCAACACTCAGGCCCCGTTTCTTGGAGCCGCTGCCGCCAACCTCCCTGTGGTTTTTGTGGGGGGAGACACCATTCTGTTGGTGCTGGATGCTGATGGAGGAGGGGATGACATCTCCAGAAGTGATGGCTTCTTCAAATGTCAGCTTGTTCTTCTGGGGTTGTGAGGCTCTGGATGGTGGGAGAGGGTGATCTCCTGGAGGAAAAACCAACATTGTCATGGGCTAGAAGTGAAGGAGGCATTTCTAGGCACAAGGAACAACAAAACTCATAGCAGTAGTCCTCCTACATATGCCTTTGGAATCAAAGGACCTGGATTCAAATCCTGCCTCTCTCATTTACCACCTGTGTGACCACTTAACCTATATGGGCCTCATTCTCCTCCTCAGCAGAGGCAGCTAAGTGGAGCATCAGTTAGAACCCTGGGCCTGCAGGGGCAGCTAGGTAGCACAGTGGATACAGCACTGGCCCTGGAGTCAGGACAACTCACGTTCAAAATCCGGTCTCAGACACTTGTTAGCTGTGCAACCCTAGACAAGTCACTTAATCTGTTTGCCTTGATCCACTGCAGAAGGAAATGGCAAACCACTCCAGTATCCTTGCCAAGAAAACACCACGGGACAGTATGGTCCACAGGATCACAAAGAGTCAGATACAGCTAAATAACAATGTATCAGGCATTGTGCTAACAGCTGGGGATACCAAAAAGAAAAAGAAAGACAACCCTTACCCTCAAGGAAACTACAATCCAGTGATGAAATAAATTGTGAGGATCAAATGAAATAATATTTTTAAAATAAATGTTAGTAATTATTATTATTATTACTTGTAAAACACAGCTTGACAAGTTCTTCTCCCTTCAGTAAAATGAAGAGATTGGACGAGACAGCATCTAAATATGGTTTCTTTCAGTTCTAAATCTGTAATTCTATGACGCGGGCTTCTACATTAACCATTATGACAGTCATGACGACAATAACAGCTTCTGTTTCTAAATTGTTTGTATGGCTTAGTTCACGGTGCTTCTGTGTGACCCTAGGCAATCACTTCATCTTCGTGTCAGAGTTTCCTCATCTGTAAAACGATGAGATTGAACTCAAGGACCTCTAAAGTCCCTTATACTACACATCTAAAATTCTCTATATAAAGTGTACCATAGATCTGTGAGACAGAAAGTACAAGGATTAGCATCGATTATTTTTCAGATGAGGAAAATGGGCCAAGAGAAAGGAACTGCTTTGCTGGGGTTCAAGGAGCAAAGCTGGAAATGGAATCCAGGAATAATCCCAGCACACTTTTCTTTAGTGTTGTTCGGTATGCAAAGTGCTTTCCTCACATAATAGCCTGAGGGGGAGGTAGTGCAAACTCTTATTATCCCTATTTGACAGATAAGGAAACTGAGGCTCAGTTACACAGCCTCTACACAGGGCAGTGGGGACTCCTTCAGCTCCTAGGCCAGAGTTACTTGTACTGTACTACCCTGGAAAAGTGACTATGTCACAAGGTGAAGAAGGACTCTATAAGGTGAGAGCAATGGAGAGTCCCTAGAGCCTAAGTCCTGCTCCTTGTCTAAGTCTGTGCTTTCTACACATCCTAACACAGTACAACAAACTGCTGGGTCCAGGGTCCCCACACAGAACAGTAACAGTTCATGTTTATATGGTACTTCAAGGCTTACACCATTTTCTTTACACTCACAACAGCCTTGTGAAGTAGGTACTATTATTGTCATCCCCATTTTACAGAGGAGGAAACTGAGGTTCGAAGAGGTAATTTGTCCCGCATCACACCAGTAGTACCTGAAAGGATCTGAAGTCTTCTTGCCTCCACGGCCAGTACTCTATTATGTCACGTTGCCTTGACAATAATAATACTAACTAATAATAGTAGTTTTGAGGTTTGTAAAGAGCCTCAGAACAACTTTGTGAAGAAAATATTATTATCCTCGTTATTATCCTGAGGCTGAGACAGGTTAGGTGACTTGCCCAGGGACACACTGCTAGGAAGTGCGCAGGACAGAATTCGAACTCAGGCCATACTGATTCCAAGTCCACCAGGATAACCGCTACATCTGCAAGGGATGCTTACTGCTCATAGGGTCCAGAAGCTGGTCCCAAGAAAGTGGCCCCAAGTGGCGCCACAACTGTAGACCCCTAAAAGCCTCTGCTGTCCTCACTCAGCACGGCACCCGGCCCCGCATTTTCTGCAGGTCCCCGATGGGGGAGGAGGGAATGGGCGCTGACTGGCTAGTCTCCCCATCCCGACCCTGGCCCCCTGGCCTCAGCCCCGGGAGGTTCTCAATCTCACTCACCGTCCAGCTCCGCTAAGATTTCCAACTCGGATGCAAACTGGTCTTCGAAATCATCTTCGACTCCGTATAGCTCCTGCTCGTAGTCCTCCATCGTGACTCCAAGCGTGCAGTGGACTCAGCTTTGGAAAGTGCAAGGACCACAGGAGTCCCTGGAGCGCGGGACTCCGGCCCAAACACCCCAGGCTGCCCAGAAGCCAAGCAGCCGGTCCGAAAGACCCGCGCTTACCCAGCGCGATGCAGTGCGCGCGCACCCCAGCACTCGGCGAATTCCGGGAACGTTCCATGTGGCTCCAGCCAACCAGCGTTCCGGGCTCGGCTGGAGGCGTCACATCCTCTCCCATTGGCCGGCCTGGCTCTCTATCTGGCCTGGGAGGCGGGGTGGAAAAGCTAATGCAACTACTGGAGGATACATTATTTCAAGCTGCTGTGGCCCTGGGAGGTGAGGCGTGCACGCCTTCTCGACTGCGGAAAGGCTGAGCAGGGGTGAGTCCCGAGGTAACTCTCATAGAGAGTGAAAGGGCCAGAGCGGGAGGCTGGGTCGAGGGGGCTTCTTCGGGTAGATTCCAGCGGGTGGGATCCTTTCATTGCTCTGGGGGAAGCTGCCTGTTCCTGTGTGACTTTGGGAAGTTGGCGTGCAGCCTGGGAAGTGCTGATCTAGCTGTGTGGGAGGAAGTAATCCCTCTGTGCCGTCAGTTCTCTAGCCCCCTCCCCTCTCCCCACCCCGGTTTGCATGACAGCTTGACTACCCGGATGGGAGGGCTGCATTTCAAATGCATCTTTATTTGGGAGTGGGAGATAGGATCTGGGCCTTGGTGCTGCTGGTGGCTTCCCTTTGCTCTGGCTGATAGACTGGCTCGAGGGTGGGCGCTCTGCCCTCCAAGGGTTGCTGCACCCAGGCCTTTCAGGTCTTCAGCCTTGGTGGTGCAGACGGAATCCGTATGATTTTGTGTGGCCCTCGATGGTCAGAGGGTTTTATAGACCTGCCGACCCCGGGGAACTGGGGATGTGTGCGAAATACGTCTTCTCATTGTCCCAACTCCGGGATTAACTAGTTCCAGTGACCTTGGGTAAGTCTCTTCCACTCTTTAGTCCACTCATTGTTAATTATATTCATTAATTTATAAAGTGAGGAGATTGGGCTCCATGGCCTCCTGGTTCCTTCCACCCAGATATTCTATGAATCTATGTCTTTAGTTCATTCAACAAGGTGTTAAGGAGGCCGGAAAGTTAAGAACCTTGTTTTTAGCCTAGTAGCTTCCTGGGGGAAAGAATTTTGATTTTCCTAATTCTACTGGCCGGAGATTGAGCCCTAATCTCACCTTCTCTCACAAAATTTGTGGACCACTAGAGGGATCCTTGGAGAGAATGTGGATGACTCTTGGTGGCCCGTCCCCAGTGCTGGGTCCAAAATTGGGCGGGGATGTTGACCGATGTATCATCTTTGTACGTGGAGTTTGTATATTGTCTTATTCTTCAACAGGGTCTTGTGCAATCTATTTGGTTGCTGATGCCTTGGGAGGCTAATTCTGAGTTTTATTTTACTCTTTCCTGGAATATCCCATCTGGATTCTTCTGGGCTTTTTTTGTTTGTTTGTGTTTTAAATTTCTGGCAAGTCTGATCCTAGGAGTACTGTATTTCTACTTATCTGCTTTATTTTGCATGTTCCAAACTTCTTTGGACAATTCAGTAATTTTTCCAAGTGTATTTCCAGTTAATTTGCATTGTCTGTATATATGTTTACCACTATATATTTGCTGTTATTAATTATATTCATTGTTTCCATTATTAGCTTGTTAACCGTTTGCTTCTTTTCCCCTCGATTTTTAGAAGCATCTTTTAATTTTAGCTTGAGTTCCTCCCAAGATTTTTTTTACTTCCTTTAAGTTGTCCATTTATATGGTCTTTATGCCTTTTTTGTTTTAGCTTTTTCAGTTCCATATTTTTAAAAATCATATTAGCACTCCACTTTATTTTTTTAATTATTATTATTTTAGGTAACTTGTTTTCTTGTGTGTTATGAATTTCTTTTCCTTTGGTGATTTCTGTTATTTGTGAGGCAGTCATACCCTTTGAACCCCTTATTCTGCTATCTTGACTGGAGAACCCTCTTCTTTGTATATTAAAGTCAGCGTATATATTATATACATACATACGTATACATATGTGTGTCCAGGCACAAGATCTGATGGGAGGAGGGTCCCCGAACCCTCCTCAGTGAATCTCCTATGTTCAAAAGAGTCTGGGTCCTACCGTAGACCTCTTTAAGCTCCATAAGGAAATAAATAGTCAATTGATGTCAAATAATCTTAACATTTCCTTATGTTATTAGAGACAGATCTGTTTCTGGTACTAGGTGTGGGTGGGCCAGTTACAATATCATGGATTTTTGAGTTAGCATTAATCTCAAAAGCCATCTAATCTAGTCCTTTCATTGTACAAATAAGGATATAAAGGCCTAAAAAACTTAAGTAATTTACACAAAGTGACATAGGTGCTAAGCTTCCGAGGTGGGGCCTCTTGATTCTCAGGCAAATGCTTTTTCCGCTCTACTTTTTAAAAAAGTTAGAGAGGTACATTACTCATCTCCTGAGCATGTAGGGTTCAAACCCCACCTCTCCCAGGGTGCTTTCCAGATCTACATCGTCCTTTCCTCTCCATAAAACACATTTGGACTAGATTTCTACATCCTCCATGAAACATTTGCTCATCCCTTTGGTTGGTGCCAGCTTTTCCCCTCATATGATATCTTCCAAATGTACTTATCATGGTATGTTGCTTCTTAGAGTTATCTCTATGTGTGCCTCTGTGAGGATATAACTTTCTGTCCCTCCCATTTTAGCCTGGTGCTGAGCTCTTTCGCCAGCTAAGTGCCTCATTCTAGAAACTTGCGTTGGATTGCTTAGAGACTTGGCTAGGTTCCTGAAAGTCCCAAGAGGTTTTGGCCCTGGAGCCCTGACTCCTCCCAGTTTCCATTAGGGTCCTCATTTCCCCTCAGCCTCAATTAAGATCTTGATTTATTCCATTAAGTAGATTGTAGGAAGCCTTTTGGCTTTTCCTGCAGGCAACTCTACAAATCTAGCTTGCATTCTCACCCTTTGTTTTTCATTTTTCAAATGTCTTTTTCTTTGATTTCTGGGAACAGAGTTTAAGGGAAATGAGGATATGAGATATGGAAGTGGGGAGGTGGAGAAGTAGGTAGGGTTATAACTATAAATTTGTATCCTTAATGATTCATGAAGACAACTATTGTGGGGAACTGAGACCTGGGTTTGAATCCTGGTTCTACCACTTACTAGCTGTGCGCCTCAGTTTCTTTAACTGTAAAATGAAGGGGGCTGGACTAAGTGACCACTAACTACTTGTCCTGCTCTAAATCTGATCCTGTCAAAGGGATGTAAAAGACTGTCAACTCTTCATTTTACCAAGGTTAAGTGACGTGCCCGAAGTCACACAGAAATATAATGGCCTGGTTGGGGAAGTCTGGTCTACTGAAACCAAAAGCAAGCCTAGCCTCCCATCCCATCCTTGCTTTCTCTCCGTACTCCTCTCTGTCCTTAGTAACCCCCAACTCACTCTCTTGCAGTATTTAGCAGTACTGAGTATAATTCCTATTTCACAGACTGGGAAAAGTCAAGAAGTCAACAAGCATTTATTAAGCACTTGCTGTGTGCCAGGCACTGTGCTATGCTTTGGAAATACAAATACAAGCAGAAAAAAAAGACAGTCCTTCCCCTCAAGGAACTTACATTCTAATGGGAGAGAAAACATTTAGGGAAGTGGTGTCCAGTAAAGGGAGTTTTGAATCATATATAAATCCAACCTGACCCCCCTCCAACCTTTCCAGTCTTCCTACGTTCTGTACTCCTCTGCATGCTCTGAGATCCAGACATCCTGGCCTTTTTGCTTTTCTTGAGCACCTTTCTTTCATCCCTATACACTCTACCTCCTACCTCTCTGCCTTTACAATAGCTGTTCCTCATGCCTGGAATGCTCCCCCTTCCTAGCCTCTGACTTTTAGAATCTCTAGCGTCCTTTGAGACTCAGCTAAGTGCCACCTCCTTCCAGAAGCCTGTCCTGGTTATTCCCTCCCTGCTTCCCTTCCTACTCCCCAAAGCTAGTGCCATCCCTTCTAAGGTTACCTTCTAGCTACTCTGGATTTATCTTGCATGTTCTAATTGATATGTATTGTCTCTTGCATTATATATATTATATATTCATAAGCTCCTTGAGGGCAGGGACTATCTTTGCTTCTTCTTTGCATCTACAGAGCTGAACCCTGTGCTCTGCACACTGTTAAGGCTTAACAGAAACTTGTTGATTGATGGGGGAATGTCACAGCGATGGGGAGTGGCACCATAGAGCAGATTGCCACATCCTTTCTAGAAAGCAGTGGTACTTCTGTTCCTGTCTGTGATCACTAAGGTCCCTTATTAACTCAACATTCAGTGACCTATTATCTAAGATAATAGCTCCCAGCTAGTATACTGGGTTTCTCCCCCAGAGGGTTGTGATGTACTGTCTTCTGTTTCCACAGGCAGAGATGCTGCCTGGAATCTCTTCCAGCCTGCCTGTCTCCTCCAGTGGCCCTGAAGTGAGAGGAGCCACAGAAAGAGCATGATTTACTGAACAACCCATGGATCTCCAAAGCCCATCACTCGGATTCTGTTTCCATCTCTGCTGCTGACTCCCAGAGGATTTGGGGTAAGTTCCATGACCTTTGGGGGCCTTAGTTTCTCTGTCTACAAAATGGCATCACTGTCCTACATGACTGAGCTGTTCTGAGGCTAAGATCATTCTTAGGACATGAAAGGCACTTAAGGATGTTAAATAGGCCTGTGAAGGCCACTCTTAATTCACTGTGCCAGTGCTGCAGACAATTCCCAAGTCATTTCAATTTAGCTTTATGGTGTATCACAGAAATAGCCATGTGATGTAGCACAGGGAGTCCTTGACTTGTTTTCAGAAGGCCTGGATTCGAGTCCTGTTTCTTCCTCTTATTAGCCATCTAATCCTGGGCAAATTTTTTGACCTACCCAGACCTGTTTTCCTTCTGTGTACAATGGAGGGGTCATACTTGCTTCATAGGGTTGATGTAGGAAAAGCACCTTCTAAACTATAAATCACTATGGAAAATTGTTCAGTTGTGTCCGACTTTTCGAAACGCCGTTTGGGGTTTTCTTGGCAAAGATACTAGAGTGGTTTGCCATTTCCTTCTCCAGCTCATTTTATAGGTGAGGAACTGCAGTAAACAGGGTTAAGTGACTTGCCCCCACAACTAGTACATGTCTGCGGCCAGATTTGAACTCATAAAAATGAGTGTTTCTGATTCCAAGCCCAGCACTCTGCCCAGTGGAAAAAATGAGGTGTTATTATCGTTACCTTTTTTTTAACAGAGAAGAAAATGGCACAGTAGATAGAATATGAATGTGGAGTCATAAAGACCTGGGTTCAAATCCTACCTCTAGTACCTTCTAGCTGTGTAGTCATTGAGAAGTCACCTAGATACTTCTAGCTTATAAAAATGTTGTGATCCAAGTTGGTGGAGGGAGTTTCATACTAATGAAATCAGATGTATTTGTTTTGTAAGATAGATACATTTCCCAGAAAGTGGGTGTGAGGTGAATTTATCCAATTCGGGTTGTATTTTCAGTATACTCCTGGGTGAGCAGGCCATTTTAAGTAATCCTGCTGGGAACCCTATAAAGAATTCTTAGGGGCAGCTAGGTGGTGCAGTCGATAGAGCACCAGCCCTGGATTCAGGAGGACCTGAGTTCAAATGCAGCCTTAGACACATAAAACTTACTAGCTATGTGACCCTGGGCAAGTCACTTAACCCCATTACCTAGCTAAAAAAAAAAAAAAGAAAATAAAAGAAATAAGAAAATAACTTAAAAAGAGAGAATTCTTTTGATTGTAAGGGATTGATGCCTCCTTTTTTTTTTATAAGTTTAAAAATTTGTTTAAATCAAATTTACTTAAAGTAGGGTAGGTCCCTCCCTTTCCTGGTAGCTTCATGCACATTTAGCTTTCACTCAGTCATTCATTTCTGCAGCTTAAGCAGTATTATTAAGCACCTGCTGTATGTAGGGCCCTGTGGTGACAGCTAGAGGGACACAACTGGGGGAATTGAACATCTGCCCTCAGGGAGGTTACCGTCTATAATCATCGCTCATTTCTATAGCACTTGAAGGCTTACAAATTGCTTTTCTCAAAACAACCCTTTGAGATACGTACGTAAGTGTTATTGCCCTCTGAGAGGGGGAAGTGGACTTGCTTAGGTCATACCGCTAGTAAATGGCAGAGACAGGCTTTGAGTGCCTTCATTTTCTGACTCTGAATCCAAGGTTCTTTTTGTGGTCTGATGGTTGTTGAGCCAGGGGTGAGGTGGGGTCTTAAGACTTGTGACTGTTAAGGGTATTTCAAGTTAAAGAGAAGCAGCCCTTTCCCGACGCTCTCCTGAAACGAGGGGAAAGCTTCTGGGGACACACTTGCTACCCTTAGGGAGGGGCAGTGACTAAAGATGCCTGAAAGGGTGGAGCTGGCCTGCTGTGCAACGCTCCTTCACATCCACCACTGTGTAACTGAAAGTTGAGAATTATTCTAATTTCACAAGTTTGAACTCCTTCAGGATCAGTGAGTTTTTGTGCGAGAAAATACCTCTTTGTGGGTCATTGGTTGTACCCCTAAATCCCATCTAAGACATTTTATAAATTCACGTTAGTTAGCCTGGGACTTCACCTGCTGTCTCTGCTTCTGGAAACTTAGCATCATAGGGTCTGGCTTATACTAGGTGCTTAATAAATGCTTGATGATTGACAGAGGATCAGCTCAGGATTACCCCTCTTGGTAGAAGGAAGATAGCCAATGGGCTTGGGAGGAGCTCGGTCCTTATCTTATTGTTTGACAGGCTTGAAGCCCACCATGGAGCCAGGGCGCATAGAGAACCTCTCCATTCTCTACCAGAGCTCGGACTTCATCGTGGTCAACAAGCATTGGGACCTCCGCATCGACAGCAAGATGTGGTACGAGACCCTGACCCTGCAGAGTCAGCTGAAGCACCGGTTCCCAGAGCTGGCTGACCCTGACACTTACTACGGCTTCAGGTACAGGACCTGGGACTCCTTGAGCATCGGGAATGCAGGTGCTGACAAAGGCAGGGGCCTTGCATTGGGAGGCAGGAAACCCAGGTTCTCTAGTCCTCATGCTGTCGCTAATTTGCTACATGGCCAATATGTGGCCTAGTAGCCCTGGGCAAGTCACTTAACCTCTTTTCCTGGGCCTATTTCCTTCTGTGAAGAGGAAGTTCTTCTACAGGGTTCCTTCCAACTTAATATTTGTAGGTTTCTATCTTGGTAAAAATCATAGCAACTCACACTTTAATGCATCATTTTATGGTTTGTATATCCCTTTTGCACACGTCATTTTAGCTGAGATTCCCAACAAATAGCCCTATGAGGGAGGTAGCTCAGATATTTACAGGTGAGGAAACTGAGGCTCAGAGAACCCTGATGCAGTGGAAAAAGTTCTGGATTTTGGAGTCAGAGGATTTGAGTTTCAATCCCTGTTCCACCACTTAGTACCTGTATGACTTTGGATCAGGCCTTGGTTTCCTCATCTTTAAAATAAAGAGTTTGACCTCGATGACCTCTGAGTTCTCTTCCAGCTCCAAATCGGCGGTTCAGGAAAAAAAGGTGTGATTTGTTCAGGGTCTCCCGGTAAGTGAAGTCACCAGCAGAGCTGGGATGCAGGGCCCTTGCAGTGTGGTCATTCCTGTTGCACCACACTGCCCCCTGCTGTCCACGGCCTGCAGGAGCAGGGGCCCCTGCCCAGCCTTGCTCTCTCCTCACCCAGACAAAAGTGATATCCTTGTTCTTGTGTCTGCCCCAGGTTCTGTCACCAACTGGATTTCTCCACCAGTGGAGCGCTCTGTGTGGCTTTGAACAAGGCAGCGGCAGGCAGGGCCTACAAGTGCTTCAAGGAGCGGCGGGTCACCAAAGCCTACCTTGCCCTGGTGTGTAACCCCAGCTGGGGGTTATGGGAGCGTGCTTATATCTTGTTAGGTTTGAGGGGTTTTGGGAGGGAGAGTGAGAGATGCATGGGAGGTGGGGTTGCCTTGGCTTGTGGTGCCTTTGATGACCGTTCATTACCAGTGATGCCATTAAAAAAAGCTTTAGCCAACCCTTAGGCTAACAGGTTGTCATGGAAGAAAACTTGGGGTGTTTGGGGGGACATCCCTAAACTAGTCACATTACTCTTTTGCTCCAAAGCTTTTAAATGGCTCTCCACCCTTGCCTTCACGTGGCCCCCCACCCATGCTTTCACGTGGCTCCCTGTCCATGATACCTTAGCCTGGCATTCAAGGCCCTTCACAAACTGGTGCCTTTCTTCCTTTCTTGCATTACCACCTTCACAGACCACATTCCAGTCAAAATGAATGATGTGTTAACCTCTCCTTTTCTGCCTCTGTGACACCCCACGGCTGGTATGCCCCTCCCTCCATTCCCTCTATTTGTTGACTGCCTACCTGTCCTTTAAGTGAGGGAGGGCTGTGGGCCCTCCTTGCTCAGAGTGATGTAAATAGTAACTGTTTCTCTTTTGGCCAGCAACCCTGAGGGTCTTCCCATCCCAGTTTGATTTTTTTCTTTTAATTAAAGGGGCCATCCCTTGACTCTCTCCTTAAAGAGGCTTATTTACCAAATGGGCTTTACCTCACTTAAAGTGAGAACTTAAAAAGACCTTAGTTTAAAAGGGCCAAGGTCTCCCACTGCATCCTGGGCCATCTCCAGTCGTCCTGATTGATATCTGGCCACTGGACTCAGATGGCTCTGGAGGAGAAAGTGAGGCTGGTGACCTTGCATAGCCCTCCCTCACTCAAATCAAAGTCAACTGCAAGTCATGTCATCATCTCCCTGGAGGACAAACACAAAAACCTGTCCTTTAAGACCCTGCATAAAATGCTGCTTTTTCCATAAAATGATGATTTCCCCTCTAGCAGGAAGTGATTCCCCCTCCATCTGATTTGATAACAGATGGTACCTCTCTTAGATACTCATCCTATATTACTTATATTTATCTGCATGCATGCAGGTAAATCCTCATTATTGTCATTATTATGACCCAGCTTAAGCTTCACCTCCTCTAAGGGGCCTTCCCTGACCACTCTAGCCCACACCAGTCACTCCAAACTCCTACAGCAATTAATTATTGCCACACAATTCAACACCTGACCACAAACTCTCTCTTGGGGTGTGCTCTATTTCAAATCAGATAATTTGCAAATGTCCTCCCTTTGAACTTCTTTGGGGGAGGGACCAGTTCTTTGTCCTTGTTCCTCCCCCCCTTCTTCTCCCTAACCCCTTTCTTCCACCAGCACCTAGCACAATGCCTTGCACATAGGAGGTACTCAGACATGAGGGAAGGAAGAGGTGACGACCCTTGAGAGAGACAGAGTCCTACTCTGGAGATTACCCAGGCAGGGACATATTCCCTGTTTGTTTTAGAGGGGTCAGTTATTCATTCACCAAGCCTACGCTGCCTACCGTGTGACTGGTATTAACCAGGTGCTGTGGGACAAGGCAAAAATAGAGGTGAAATAGAGGATGCTACAAGGTAGAGGGAGTGCAGGAAGGGAATATATAGCATTTATATAGCACCTGCTATGTGCTAGGCACTGTGCTAAGCGCTTTGCAAATATTATCAGATTTGAAATAAAGCATACCACAAGAGATAGTTTGTGATCAGGTGTTGATTTGTGTGGCAATAATTAATTGCTGTAGGAGTTTGGAAAGACTAGTATAGGCTAGAGTGGTCATGGAAGGCCCCTTATAGGAGGGGAGGTTTAATAATGATGACGATGAGATGATGATGATGATGATGATACACATTTCTATGGTACTTTCGGGTTTAAAAAAGTTTCTTCCCACCAGCCCTATAGGGCTTATAAGTTGGGTAGTATAAATATTATCCCCACTTTACAAATGAGCAAATTCATGTTTAGAGAAGTCAGGTGACTTCCTCAAGCTCACACAATAAGTATCTAGTCCAAAATTAGAACCCAGGTCTCCTGACTCCAAGTGGGTAGGTTCTGTTTTGTTTTTTTGATTTTATGAGGCTCCTTATATATAGTACGGTAAATTGGTGTTTGTTGAATTGTTCTGAAATATTCTGAGTGGCATGATTTCTTTATATTTGAAAGGTTCGAGGCCATGTGCAAGAGAGCAGGATGACCATCAACCATGCCATTGGGAAGAATACGACAGAAGGCCTGACCCACATGATGTGTATTGAAGGGACAGAAGGTAGGGAGCCTGGACCTGCTCAGTCTCCTGTCCCCCAACTGCCCTAGTGTGGTCTTAACTCTCTGGTTAAGAGAAACTCTGAGGGTCTTCCACTTCCTGATTGATTCTTTTGTGAAGGCAAACTAGGCTATCTTTTACCTCATTTCTTTCCTAGCCTTGACTACTGAATGGGTGTTGCCTCAGACAAACTGAGACCTGGGAAAGACCTGGGGAAAAGGTCAAGGTCTCCCACTGCATCCTGGGCCATCACCAGTTGTCCTGACCTATGTCTTGCCACTGGACTCTGATGACTCTGGAGGAGAGAGTGAGGCTGATAACTTTGCATGTCCCTACCTCATTTAAATCCAGTTCACTTGCAAGTCAAGACATTGCCCTCCTGATGTCATTGGTCCTTTTCTAGAACGAAGCACGAACAACAACAACGCTTTTGTTGCACAGCCTTGGAATGTAAACTTGCAGAGGGCAGGACCAGGATCTGAGTAGGGCAGGCTTTCATTTTATGTGAATGAATTTCATTTTAAGGTCATACTTCATGACTAGGCCAATATTGAACATCCAGGAATGGCTTAGTGTTTCTTAGGCAAAAATAAAGATAGATGTGTTGTCTAAGGAAATGTTGCTGCTGAAAGGAAAGGGATTTACCTGGGCCTGTGGAGAGAAGGACTTGGGGGCAAATCCAGAAAGACCTTTCTGAAGATAGCAGTTCTTCAAGCCAGGATTTGCCCCAGAGGGAGGGCAGCATCCCACAATCTCTCTTCTCCTATTCCCACCCCCCAGGCTGTGAGAATGCCAAACCGTGCCTGACGGAACTGACAGTTCTGGAGCGTGGGCTGTATGATGGTGATCCCGTCTCCAAAGTCCTCCTCCAGCCCCTCACAGGTAAGGTGGCCTCCACCTCACAGCTCACCTGGTCTGAATGTTTTGTGGGGAGCAGGTGAGGGCAAGTGGCTGCTTCTGGAGGAATCGGCTTTGTATGTTGGGTCACCCCAAGCCTGGATGTGAACCAGGCATCCTCCCCATTCAGGAAGTTTAATATCTGCACAGCCCTGAATAGTTTTTAAAGTACTCTCACAAATATCCTCTCATTCAGGCTTCATGCCCTAACAGGAATTATATTATACCTGTTTTTCAGATAGGGAAATTGAGGCTCAGTGAGACTTGGTGGCTTCAGAGCTTGGTATTCATAGCTTAAAGGTTACTTAGAGATCATCTAGTCTAACCTCATTTTAATTTAGGGAAAAAAGAAAAAGGAGCAAAACAAAGAAAATAAAAGCCCATGTAAGAAATAGGCATAGTCAAGCAAAACAAATTCCCTAATTGGCTATATCCAAAAAATATATTTTGTTCTCCACCTGAACCCCTCACCTCTCTGCCAGGATGTGAGTAGTAGCATTCTTTATCATCTTACTGAGTCTTGAATTGGATGTATTGTAGACTAGATTAGTATTGTAAGTGAGGTACCCAGGGTGGGTAAGTGACTTGCCCAGTATGTGGCAGAGCTAGGATTCAAACCCAGATTTTTGACTCTTATTATATTATTGTTATTAATTGACGTTTATATAAGGGGTCCCAAAAGTCTTAATGCCATTTTAAGCTGGTGAAGCTTACCCTTGTAGCACTTTTTGAGGTTTATGAAATGTTTTTCATCCGTTATTTTCATTTGGTCCCTGCAACAATCCTGTGAGGGTTTTTTTACTATTTAATTATTTATTATTTAAACCCATTTCACAGATGAGGAGTCTGAGGCTCAGAGTGACTTGTCCATGCTAACAAAAGCTCATCATGTTAAAAGAAGGATCTGAACTAAGGAGTCCCTTGACTTTAGGTCTTTCAACAGCCCCAACCACTTAACCCCAAAGGGTGGGGGTCCAGGGAGTTGAGTTCTTTTGGCCCATAGCATTTGACCCTAGCAAGTTGCAGCCACATTTTAGTCCTGGGCTTTCTCTAGAATAGTGGTCTCCAAAGTGGAAACAGTAGCACCCCAGTGGGGTATGACATTAATCAATCAGAGAGTAGGAAAATGGGTCACATCTCACCATCATTCAGTAGCCACAGTGCTTGATTTCAACATAACTGTAGCTAAGTTTTATCTGTCTTGTTCAATACCTCAGTCCCACCTTTCCCACTGTGGTCTCCTGTGGCTACATTGGGTATCTGGGGATGGAGAGATGGGGTTGGCTTATGACCTGATCATGAACCAGGCACCTAGAGCAGCTGTCCAGCCCCAACATTGCCACACCCTGGCCCCCTTCTCACTCCAGCTGACATTGTGGTACATACCCCAAGCTCTGAGTACAGAGAGCCTTGCCCGCCTTATATTAGCTTTCACCAGAATCTCACCCCTCTTCCAGACTTCCCTCTTTCAGTCAGGGGTACCACAATCCTTGCAGTCATTTAGGTTCAGAACCTTGGGGTCATCCTAGAAAGCCAGTCACTTGACAGGTTTTGCCCTTTCTGTCTCAACTATGTCTCTTGGCATCTATCCCCTTTGCTGCACTACCAGGGCTAACAGCCTAATTCAGGCCTTCATTACCTCTCCCTGGACTATTTCCATAGCTTCCTAATTGTTCTCCCTGACTCAACTCCCTCCTCTCTCTAATCCCTTCTGCATTCAGCTGCCAAATTGAAAAATGATATTCCCAAAAGCATCGTCTGACCATATTACTCCCCTAATCAGTAAATTCCAATGGCTTCTTATTCATTCTAGGATCAAATATTTCTTCTTTATCACATCCTTTTAAAATGTCCACTTTATAATGTATGTTATTAGTATGGTAGTACATGTATATCATTTATGAATAAACAGACATATTGGGGATATGTGCTCAAATTTTTTTTGCTGCTAGGGGTGTATGATCAGAAAGTTTGGAGCCTGCTGTTCTGCAGAGGGATGGGGGATGAGAGGCAGCCTGGAAGATACGGGCAGAGGGAGTGAGAGGAGAGAAAGGAGAATGAAGACTTCTTTTGGTCTGTGAATGATTGCCACCCATGCTGTTTAGCCAGAGGTTGGGGAAGTGGAGTCTTAAATGCCTATCACTGACCCCAAACCCCAGGAAACTTGAGCTGGGAGATGCCTTGGGAAAAGCCCTGGACTTACCCTAGCTCTGGCTTCACCACCTACCAGGTGTGTGCCTCACTTCTCTAAGACCCAGCTTCCTCACCTGTAAATGTAAACAATGATGCTTTGACTCCTTACCTCCCAAGGTTGTTGTCAGAAGAGTTCTTTAACTGTTAAGTGTTATAGAAACGTGATCTTTCATTTAGAGGCAGGTAAGTGGAGTCAGGAGGACGTGGGTTCAAATCCTGATTTGGGCATTTACTAGCTGCACTCAGTTTCTTTGGGCCTTGGTTTGTTTCCTCATCTGTAAGATGAAGGGGTCTGAACTCAGTGGGCCCCTAAGGTCTTCTCCAGCTTGAAATCTATGATTCTATGATTCAGACTACAGGGCTTCTCCAATCTGGGAAGACAGGCTGACATCTCAGTAAAGGGATGAGGAGAGATGGTGGCCCTCGTCTGCCAAAGCCTACAGATTAGGACGAGGAGCCTCAGTGAAATCTGAAGGAGATTTCAGGACAAATTGTAGGTCTTTGTGACTTTGGGCAAGTCATTTCCTCTGACTGGGCCTCAGTTTGCTTTTCTGTAAAGTAAGGGGATGGGACTAGATCCTCTCTAAGGCCCCCTTCCAGGTCAAAATCCTACGGCCCTAAGACAGCAAGAGGTGTCTTTTGGAAGCTGATTTCAGAAAGGGCGGCTGAGGCTTTCCCTAAATGCTTCTGTGCCAGATGTCCCGGATGGGAGGGCTGAGCCTGGGTTCACACGTGTTCTTGACATTGTGTTCTCCCTAAGGCCGGACCCACCAGCTGCGAGTACACTGCAGCAGCAGTGGGCATCCCATTGTGGGCGACTTCACCTATAGCTTCAAGAAGGATAGCCGCCCCTTCCGCATGATGCTGCACGCCTTCTATCTCCGCATCCCCACGTGCGGGGAGCTCATCGAGGTGAGCACGCCTGACCCCTTCGTGCCCACGCTGGATGCTAACTGGCAGCCCCAACAATCGGTCCACCCCCTGGAGCAAGTCATCCAGGCCCTGAAGGCCACAGCGGACCCAGCCCTTGGGGAAACTTCACCTCTGCCCAAGGTGGGCCAGGATGTGATCACTCAGGTGGCTGGGGCCAAGGAATCAGAGGAGCAGCGGGCCAGGTGCCAGCAGTGGTTGGCTGAATGGGCAGTGGAGCCAGAGAACTGAACTGTGCACTGATACCCAGCTGCCCATCCTTGGAAGGGCCTCAGTGACCTGTCATTAGGAAACCCTACCCATTCCCAGATACGGATCATCTCTCTTCCCCAGACCTTGAGTAAGATGGAATTGGGGCTTAGTGGAAGGCCACGCTCAGCCAGAGAGGGGTTTCTTCCCCCTCCCTCCCTCCCTTCCCCTACCAGGTTCCCTACCTCCTATACCCAGTATCTCCAAGCCATTATCCCCCGGGGGGTGGTGGTATGGGCTGGAACTTGGGCAGTTAGTTTCAAGCCGGTGCCATAAGGAAAACAGCTAGCCCCTGATTCCCCACCCCTGGGCACCTACAGTACAGGGATGGATGGATATTCACTATCCTGAACGGTAGAGTGAACAGAGATCGGATGTTTCCTTGTTACTGTCTACAGGCAGCTAGTGGTGCGGTGAACAGAGCACTGGGTCTGGAGTCAGGAAGACCTCAGTTCAAATCCAGTCTCAGATACTTGCTAGCTGTGTGACCTTGGGTAAGTCACTTAACCTCTCTCTGCCTCAGTTTCCTCATCTGTAAAATAGGGATGATAATAATAGCACCTGCCTCCCACAGTTGTCATGATCCAATGAGATAATATTTGTAAAGTACTTAGCCCAGTGCCTGGCACATAATAAAAGCTATAGAACTGCTATTATTATTACTGTGTCAGGAGGTTGTCCAAAATGAGGGAGGGGAAAAATACCTCCACTGGAATTTTTAGCTTTTCTGGCCTAGGGGACAAAATCTCTTTTGCTGAAAATAAGCCAGGCCAACATTGCTCGGCTACTTGCTGACAATCATTCCCATTTCATAAATGAGAAAACTGAGGCCCAGAGAGGTTATTTTTAAGGTCACCTTTCCCAGTGCCTCTGTTGTGCCTGTATTTGGGGAAAAGTTTGTTGTTTTTTTTTAAATCAAGATGCGATGGGAGGTAGGGGGGCAGGGTGCAAGGGTGATCTTTCGCCGTAATGGATCATGGATGCCACGTGCCAGGTTTGCTTGGACCATCTATCACCATGGGGATGGAGGAGGGTGGAGGAGTTGATGAGGTTTATGGAGGATGCTGCTTCACTCAGTCTCAGGTACTTGCTGGCGCTGAGCCCCTTCCCACCCACCCTTGCCCACCCAGACCAGACAGATCCTGAAGGGTTGGGGGTGGTCTGGGGAGGGAAACCCTATGAGTTATTCCATGTGATAGAGTGCAGACTTCTTTTCCACCAGGAGAGGGCGCCAGGCATCCACAGGTAGCTGGCACTCCCAGCTCAGGCTTTGGAGGTGGGCTTGCAGGTATTTATCGACATCTGGTACCTGCCTACCTGGCCCTTAGTTCTGTCTAATTGGAGAAGGCTTGGTCACACGTAGAACAATGTTCAGATTAGCTCTTCCTCAGCCCCTAACATCTAGTCACTTACCAGTCCTTTAAATTTTTGCCCAGCAGCCTGATCCATCCTTTCTGGTCCATTCTTAACACCACCACTCGTTACCTGTTGCCTAGGCTATTCAGACAGCCTCTGCGCTGGTCTCCCTGCCTCCTTCCTTTCTCTTCCAGTGCTTCCAGTCACATTCTTTATGCACACCTCTGGTCATGTTGGCTCCTTCTTGCCTCTGAGATGGAGTCCAAACGATCCTGGTATTCACAGCCTTTCATGATCTGGCTGCAAGCTTTTGAGCCTTACCTCACACTCTTCTCTTTCACACCTCTTCTGCTTCAGCCGGTGTTATCTTTTAACCACCTCAGGATCATTCCTGCCTCTTGCTTGGGCTTTGTACTCTGTTTGGAAATGCCCTTACCTCTCTCTCCCTCTTGAAATCCCTCCCATCCTTCAAGTCTTAACGAAATGCTCTGAATCAGCTATTTAGAACAGGAAGGGAACATAGACCTCATCTAGTCTAACCACATCATTTTATAGGTGAGGAAACTGAGGCCCAGACAGGTTCAAGTGACTTGTCCCACCTCACCACTCACACAGCCAGCCTCCCAGGTCACACCCTCTTCACCTCTTGTCAGGACTATGAAACAGCCTCCTAGCTGGTCTTCTTGACTCAGGTTTCTTCCCTTCTTGAATCTATCCTCCTCATGATTCCTAAAGTGATTTTTCCCGAAGTGCAGGTATGACCGTATCATTTCCCTACTCAAAAACAGCAGTGGTCCCTACTGTCTCTTGGGTCAAATATAAATTGTAGCATTCAAAGGTGGCCCCAGCCTTATCAGATGTCGGTCCTCTTCCTGTACACTGGCCCTTCTGCTGTTTCACAAACAAGGTGCTTTGCCTGGGCTGTTCCCCACACCCAGAATTGACTCCCTCCCCACCTCTGCCTCCTCGCATGAATTCCTTGTTCTTTTCAAGATTCAGCGTCAGCATCTTCTAAGTGAAGCCTTTCCAGATTCTCGCTCCACCACCCAGCATTAGCCCCTCCTCTCCAAATTACCTTGTAAGCGGTGTGTATGTAGTCTGCGTGTACTTAATTTAATTTAATTTAATTTATGTACCTGTTTGCTCTTCCTGATAGAGTGTAAACTCCTTAAGGGCAGGGAGTGTTTAATTTCTGAGTGTGACTAGTACAGTGCCTGGCACACAGTGGGCACTTTATAAATAGTTACTGATTGATTGCCCGGGGTCACTCAGGTCATGCGTAGCAGAGTTGGGATTGGAATCCAGGTTCTCCAACTTCAGATTCAGCACTTTTCCTGTTATTTTGGGAAATCTTTTTCAGGAAGCTTTTCCTGACCCCTGCAGCTCATAGTGAAATGTCCAGGATTTGTCTCCCTGACTTGCATTCTATGGGGGTACTGTCTGGCCTCTCTTTCTGACTAGATTGTGACTTCTCTGAGGGCAGAGATGGCATCTTCTTCTGTCTCCTTCATCAAATAACCTCACATGAGACTGAGAATGTGGTGAGTGTTCAATAAATGACTTGAAAATTTTGGAGAAGTGCATGAGCTGATCCTACAGTGATGTGTGACAAAGCCAGTCACAGACTTCAATAGATATTGAAGAAAGTCCCTCAGCCTAGCCCTCAGGGCCAGCTCCCACCCCCTGGGGGGGCCTCTTTCCAGCACGGGCGCCTTCCTTTCCCCACGTGACTTAGAGAGGAGACCATTGAGTAGACTTTGTGGACGGTGGCTTCTCTACGTAGCTTATGGCCACAGATCTGCACCGGGATGTCTGCATCCAAATTTGGAGGCATCTGGAAGATCAGGGCCATTTCCGGTTGTGGGGTACTCTTTTGGAGGTAGTGACCACACTGATGAGACCATGGGTTCACTAACGTAACTCTCATCTGCATAATACTTTTAAAGTTTATAAAATACTTTACAATGATTTGTGAGGCAGGTGGTACAAACATCATTGTCCCCAGTTTACAGCTAAAGAACCTGTGACTTGCTTCAAGGTCAGCATCAGAGCCAGGACTCAACACCCAGGTCTTCTGACTTCCAAATTCTTCATGCTGCCTTGTGCTACCTAATTAAACTGAATCCATTGCTAGAAATGGTGGGAGAGGGTGTGCAATAAGGGGACCAGGGGTAAGTAACAGAGTGGACTTTCCCTGGTGGGTTGTGGCCCAGATGGATGGGGTTTGGGGATTTTCTGATTTGGAACAAGAATCCTTAAGCAGTGATTGTGAATGGCATCAGTAACTTGAGAGCATGGTTTTTAAATTCCTTTTTCAGTTTGTGTTGGAAAGAGATTCACTTCTGTTATGGGTGTAAAGCAGTAACTTATCTTGGGGAAGACATTCTTGTGTCTCAACAGAACATGCATGTGAATAAATAGGTGGTGCCAGGGTTTCAGGTTCTAGACCTGAAAGATGCGTCAGACTGCACAGTTTCCCCTGGCATCCCCCCTCCTTCTAGGAACCGTCCTTGGCCGGCACTTTGCCCTTGATCCTAGGGCTAAGACCTTTCATTATTTTTAACTTCTCAGTCACTGTGAGCCCCAGCCCGAGGCACGCAGCCTCCTAAACACTTCTAGCTGGTAAGTCTGCGTGGTTCTTTGGGCCAGAGATCTGCCCTGCCTGGTTCTTGGTGTTCCCCTCTCCCCTTTTCCCACTCATGTGGGGGCCCTGACCCGTCATTGGTTCATCGCACCGTCCTTGCTATCAGCCGTTCAGGGAACTCTAGCATCACATGGCGATGTCTTGCCTACATTCCTCCATGGTCACTATCCAATTCCCCCCTTCCTCAGCCAAAGGAAAAACCAAGGAAATAAAAATGGAGTGCAGTCATTTCCATGTTGCGATTTTCCCTATTTATCGTGGTTTCAATATGTCGTGGTTTGGCATAAGAAGCTTGGGATTTTTTTGGAGTTTTGTGGAAGTGAAGGCCAACAAATGGCAGAAAAAGTTTAGAAACTCAGAACTGCGTGAAATATATGTATAGTATTGTATAATATAGCCTATAACCAAATACTTAACCCAAATTTTCCAAGGTAAACACTCCATACATTTTTTAAGGTAAATACTCCATAAAAGAAAAAGAAAAATTCAGACTTATTCTCTGGTGTGAAGGGAGGGCCAAAAAAATACACGGATTTGCCAGATTGCAGGAGGGTGCCACACCCTTAAGCCCCACAATGTGAGAGAGATTGCATGTTGTAATGAAAAGATGGCTAGATTTAGTGACTGAGGACCTGGATTCAACACTCACTACTTATTTCAGTCACTTGGAGCAAGTCAGATGATTTCTCTGGGCCACAGCCTCTTTACCTGCCATAGGAAGTTGAGCTAAAATGATAATCCAAGGTCCTTTCTGGCTCCAAGCCTGTGCTTCTAAAGACGTCATTCTCATCACCTTAAAAATCAGATCATCAGTCCAGTGCAGAAGTCAGTCTGAGGTTCACAAAATCCTTTCCTCTACAGCCTCACAAAAGAGAAGCGAAATCACAGGTCTGTCCTTGAAACTCAGGCATTTATCAAACCAAGCCTCAAGTGTTCCCAATTCCCAATCCATTAAGAAATGGTGTAGCTCAGGGGTGAGGACCCTGCAGCCTTGAGGCCACGCGGGGGTAGCTGATCAAGCCATGGAAAACAGTGAAGCCCAAGCTTTAAAAACAATCAGAACAGACCAGAAGAAGGGCCAAGAATAATAGTAGGGACATTTAATCTGAACCTCAAGCATGCAGCATTTCTCCTCTTCTGCCATGACCTCTTCCACCTTTTATTTCCTTGTTCTTAATGGACACGGGTTCAGTGTTAGAAACATCACAGAATAAAAGCCCAGACCATCTTCAGTCCCTTGATAAGTGTACACTAGTGAACTTATATCTTAGACTGATTCACTGACTTCATGCATGAATAGAGGGCTGCCGGTGTAATCTGGATTGTTATGAAGAGGTTCAGAAATAGTGGCATATCGCTGTTTATTTAAATTAGTTTCCCCCGTCATGGTTTAAGGACAGAGGTAGAGTGTTCTGTTATTTCAGTTGTGTCTGACTTCTTGACAGTATTTGAGGTTTTGTTGCCAAAGATACTTGGAGTGGTTTGCCATTTC